TATTAATTTCGTCACGACTTTACTCTAAAATATATGGTGTTAGAGTTTTTAGGCATTTACAGTTCGACATCATATAGATCTCTATACAACTATCAATCATTAATGATTTCGTTACACAAATTAGAAATGAACAGAAATTTCTGTGCTGTAAGGTTCTATCAGATTCCATATAAAATGGAAACCGTAGTAAAGTTTATTGAACTTCTTAATATACTGAATTTTAGACAATTAGGTATGCGATAAGTTCATAAAATCCGCAATTTAGTTCTTACTGTTGATGCTTTTGGTTGAGAAGTGTTGCATCTATGCTTATTCATGTACAATGTTCAATGTCACAGTTACAGAATCGACAACTGTTGTTTTTGAATTTGTTCACACAGAAATCCGGCAAAAGTTTCCCAGAAAGTCTATTAGGTACAAGCGTATTATCTCTCGCCGTTACATTTAAACAGTTCTCAAGCGAGAAGCGATCCATAGTAATGTAATCAAGCGCGGCGGAAAAATAATTGCGTGTATGCGGGTCAAACGGGCAAGCGAGTCGATTAATTGATTCTCCCCCTAGTGAACCTCGTTTGAAAGCGATTGTCCAGCACAAAGTCCGATTTAACTCACAATCGGTCGATCATCGTCGAAGGATCCAGACTCGTTAAGTGTATTCCCGCGGTCTGAGACTCCACGGGTGGCAATCCGATACTTTCTGCTCATTTTTACGAATGCACGTTCTATCGAAACAGCGTGCACGCACCATTAGTAAGACCTACATTCGTATTCAGTTTTAGCACGCTTATTCTGTGATATTTATTTTCCGCAAAATTTTATAACTGTATTTAAATAATTGTGTCACGTGGCAGTCAATTTGTTAAGTCAGTATACTACATAGTATTATGTATAAAGTTGTTTAAACAAAAGTGCTTTTATGCCGTGTATCGCGTTACCTAACAAACCATCACAAACGTATTCGAATTTAAGTGCCTGAAGAGAGTTTATAACATTGGTCTATAAAATTGGAATATCATTGGTCCAAGTAGTAAATGGGTTCACATTGAAAAGTGGAACATATTTTAGAAACGATATAAGTTGTCTTTCCACTCCACTCCGAGAACTTTTCAAATGACTCCACGTATTTCGCGGAGTTTCTTCCGCGTGGCTCGCGACAATCACCTGGCAACTAGTTTCCAGACTTCGCGCGGGCCGAAACTCTCTCGGTGAATTCGTCGCCGGTTCTATTCGAACCACTCCAGCAGCCGTCCGGAGGCATCTTGTCGATCGTAATCGGCCGAATAGAGGCTCGCCTTCCATTGTTCCGTCGAGTTCCCTCGACGTAGATTGACCTTTCGGATCGAGTTAAGTAGACTTTCGAATTTTCGCCCATCGACGAGCAGAAATTATTCCGCAGCCACCCTCCGCCCGTATTCAGATTTCTCGAGGGCGCATGTTAATCCCGGAAAACTTTTAAGATGCCTCCCTCTGTGGTGTGTACCTTCGATGAATGGTGCTTCAGAAGAAGGTAATCTTTCGCCGGTGTTCTTTGATATGTACATACGTAGATACTTCGCGGTAAGACTCTGAATTTCTGGGTGGAGAGCCTCTCGCGATATTGGAATCGAGATCGGATTCATCGATAGTGGAAAATTATAATATTCGATGTAATATTTGGAAATTTTTCCAATTTATCGATCTTCTACTGATGCAATAGTTCGAAGTATTGCATGAATTGGGAATTTAAAAAATCAGGATATTTATTCCGTAGCTTACAATACTCAAAATGATTAAAAAATATATATATATATATATATATACAGAACTCGAATACAATGAATAGTGTAAAGCCGAGATTCAGTTTAGCAGAATTTAATTCGAATTTGACTAGAAATACAAAATGGCACTTTCTCTGTATCAGTTTACCTTTATCTTCTTCACCTTAGCAGATCTTAACGGAAATAAAAACACCCTCTTTCAATTGGGGATATTCAAATGATGTCAAATCATCAAAAATGTAAATAAAGGGACTATTCGAGTTCCAATACGTTCCCCGGTTAAACTAACAAAAAGTATTCAATATAGTCCATATCTTTAAGCACAGAGTACATTTCCTTTTTGTTCAATCCACAGGATGATATCACAACTGTCCCTTTCCGTTGAAAATTCTTTCCTGCCCTGTCCCGCATTCGAAATCTACAATTCCATAATAATTCGCGCGTAAACACCGGTGCCCGTTTAATTCGTTTCGGACAAAAGACTATTTATTACGGAAGTTGCGTCGCGGCGCGCGGACGAGACGAGAAAAAAGCATGTAACGCGGTCGTACGTTAGTACAGTGATAATTTCGCAACTTGTAATGCTCTTTGGGCTTGAAACTGTGAAATTATGGTGGCCGTGCTAACTTCGCGTTACGTCAAAAGTTCCCGGCGACCGTTTAACATACGTCTGACAGTATTTATGACCCAGGGAAATATTTCCGCGTTGTAATTGCCTCTTGAAGCCAAATTCGTGGCATTCCCCGTTCCGTTTCCGCCCCCGCTTTTGCCTGTCCATCACGCGCAAAGGCCCCACGCATTCAGCGCCGCGTTCAATCTAATCCTAAACGTCCGCGGGCGTTTCGCTCGACGAATACACAGAATGGAACGCACAACGCTTAGCTTATCTAATGGGTCCGTAATTCGATGAAGAAAAATTGTTCTGTTTTTAATACCTCGACTGTGGACATACCTATCTCTGGAAAATGCCGATTTAGTGCGGTCGGACTCGCAGACACTGGAATCGAAAGAAACTTTGTCTCCCCAGTGAACGTTGTCGCGACTCAACTCTTGACAAAACTCAACATTTCTTCAATAAGCCAGAAACCTCGGCAGCTACAATACCCGCTCGAACCTATTCCAAGTAACGCTTCGTTTCCACAGCCTGGTGGTCGAACAGACGGCAGAAATTAATATCGAAAATCGTACCGGAATCCGAAAAAGCCCTGCAGACCTTCCTTAAACGCAATCTTCGATGAGGCGTGCAGCTGCGGCGTAACCACCCAACATCCTTCTTCCCTCCCTCTCTGCCGATCCCGTCCTCGCGGTGTCTTATCTTCGGAGCTTTTAATTTCGGTCCACCGAGCTCTTTATATCCGCGAGAGGTATAATTATCCGCAAGAAGGCAGAGGGGCGCCATTGAATATTTTAGCCGTCGTTCCACCCCTTTCTCAACCCCTCGACTCTTCCATCCCGCCTGTGTGTCTCTCCTATCCCTCTGTTTTCCTTACCTCGTTCCCGGGCCGGTCTCCGTGAGAGAAAAATAAAAACGCCCCGACTGTACATTCCAGGCGAAAGAAAGAAAAAAAAGGAAGCCAGGGCCAAAGACCGAGGGGAAACGCAAGCGGAAGACGATCCGTGGGCCCCAGTAACCAGCGAGAGAGAGATTAGGGCGGAAAGTTACGTCTGGTATCTAGCGGACAGATTTACATAAGTTCCCTCATTTCTTCCCGCCCGTTTTTCCCTGTGAGCCGCTTCCTTTAATCGTCTAGCGCCACCGTCCACCCCCTACCCCCTTTATTCGTTCATTTTTCATGTGTGCGGCGACCCCGCACGCTCGCTAATTATCCGCCATTTGATAATCCTCTGGCTCGCCACCCCTCTTTTTCAACATTCTCCAGGCGCGGACATTTTATCGTCCTCTATTTGCCTCGCTAATTCCGGAACGCGTTTCCTTCCTCGCTTAGTCTTCTTTTCTCGTGATCCTGCCTGCGAGCTTGTCTTTTCACGTTCGAGGAGGAAGAACGAATCCGTCTTTGTTTGGATGAGGAGAAGAAAAGAGAGAGCAATCAGAGGAGGTTGGGATAGACTTCGGAAAGTGGATTTTTGAACGCTGGGCACGTATCAGGCGAGTGCCGTCTCGAAGCTGTTGCTTCTGGCGAGAAAAAGAAGAAGTAGTGGAGATCGGTCTCTTACCTGGCGTATTTTTCTTACGTGGACCATTCTGTGCAGCCGGTGGGCAAGAATTAGGTATATATCGTTGAGAAATTATCAGACTCGATTACCGTAATTACGGGATTATTAAATGCTGGTAGCTTTTTACTTCGCAGTATTTTCCGTGCGTATATTATCCCTTAATGTCCGCGGGATTATTCAAGGAGGAATTGTGCTCGTGATAGTGGGTCGTCCAGGTTTTGGTAATTATATTTAAGGATATAATATTTAGTTTAATATTCAAGTATTGTTTGTCTTCTATTGTATTTGTGAAGAACATTATTGGAGAGGACATACAACTTTACATTTACTTACTACCAACAACTTATAACTACTTACAAAGGTAATCCTTTGGAAACGACAGTTCCTTTATAATAACAATCTGGTTAAAAGGTTTTTTTCCACATGTACTTTTGAATCGCATAGGAATAAGCTGTACACGATGTTACGAAATAAAAGTGGAGTCTTAGATAATATGGACTGTGCGAAATAATATTCCGTGAAATGTGACAGAGAGCAGTAACAATAGATTCTTAAACAATTAATCTACATTTCCATAAATAACACCGCGAAGTTTGCACATTGCTATCTACACTTTCCGACTCTTAGATATTATAGAAGTATATGTAATTCATATCAAAATGAATTTAATTATACAGGGAATTCTAAATCATTTCATAATATACAGTCACGTTTACTTTCGTCTTGCGAAAAATGTACATCAGGCATGAGACGATGAAAATTTTATCAGCACAAAGAATTTCATCAGGGTCTTCGAAATAAGAGGATTTCATTGAAGTTCCATCCATTAAAATCTCATCTTTTGCAGGTAGTAGATGAGTAATAATAGTATGTACACGCCCAAAAAAATAAGCGGGGGGAAATATATTTAAAAAATGATAAAAATCAGAATGAGAAACTAGAAAAGTAGACAGACATTTTCGAGGTTTCCTTGAGTTAAAATATATTCACAGGACATTTTACACGGTCGACGTATTAAAATTCCATGCAGGAGAAAGCGTGCTTCACCTACCCTATTTACTGTTTCAGGATGTCCAGGAGCCAAGGAGTCTGGTCCGACGAGCCGTGCACCTCGGCCAGTGGTCGAAGCGTCGCACGACAGTCGGCCGGGCCATCCTCGAGGACGACACCCCCAATTCTCGAGGATCGGACATCCGGTACCACGTCCTGCAAAGGTGGATTCAGGTTAGGCATCTACGGCTGGAGGAAAAGGTGTTTATACTCCCTGGTGCTGACTTTAATGATCATCGTGATTTTGAACCTGGCTCTCACCGTGTGGCTGCTGAAGGTCATGGGATTCAGTTCCGTAAGTTTATTATCGATCATTGCTCCTTACGACCAGTATGTACTATTTTAAAAAATTGCGGAATACGGTGATCCCTCGATGATTGCGACACGAATAACTGCGTTATTCCCACCACTAAGGGGCTCTCCTTGTGAAACCAAAACAAGATAAACAGAGACTCGGCTTCGTGCGAAAAACAAATTTATAAGCGGCTAAAAACATTTCCGCCTTGCCATGAATGCTCCGGAGCAGACCCTAGTATATCGCACTCATCGAGATATTACTGTATATGATGTCCATAAGCTGCCTGATGATATCAACAAAATCTTTTGTGGGACAGAGTAAAATACCTATTATTTTGTTAAAGTTATTGGAATTAATAGAATTATAGTCTAACTAGAACGCCATAAAGGGACGTATAATAGGAGTGAATCGACATTTCAGGTCTATAGCGTTTCGAAAAGCAAATACGTCGATTCGCATCTCTCAAATACGGTGCATCTGAATTTTTCGCCGGTGGGTATATAGTTCATTCGGATAGAATCTAAGAACCTTATATCTATGTATGCAAAATAATATTACCTCGTGTTTGTGTGAAAATTTGTTGGTAAAATTCGTTTGTTACTTCGTTTGCATTTTCCTTTTCGGTATACTAATATCATACTAATATACGCAGTAGATGTTGTAACGCAAGTACAGAATAGTCCATTATAGCTGGTACCACCGATCAGATGGAGATTCTTTCAAATTAAAAAGGAAAATTCTTTGAAAATTGGAGGAAATTGAAATAACAAATCGAACGTGTCTGTTTAAACTTCTCGAAACGGTACTTTGTACGAACAATTTATACTCCTCAATATCGATGAATTTTTCCATAAAACATCACCTCTCTATCTTTTAAATCACCGTGCATAATTACTTATAGTAAAATACACGTACAGTAAAATTGTCAACATACAAAGATAAGCTCAAATGGTCTCCGTATTCTCCGAACAAATTTATTCCCCAAATTTCTCTCTGCACGCGATAGTGTTCTTCATCGACAATCCTTTAAACGTCTTAACTACCGTCAAACAGCATTAACTTCTAATTACAAATCCATTAGCCACGCATGCTTTAACAAAAAACTTCTACCCGCATCGCGAGTCTATAAAGCTAGTCTGCGGGACAGAAATTAAAATTCACTGGTTCCCACGTCCCGGCCAAAAAATTAATACCCACAACATCCTTCTGTCAACGAAGCTTGGGCCCCTTCTCCGGTCTGAAATTATTTCCGGGAATTGCGAGCGCACCGGTTCTTTGTAAAATCCAGCCATGGTCATTTTCCCTCGCTTTCCCGGTTCTCGGTATTCCCTTTCCCGGTCGGCCCAGCTTTTCAAGTGCATCGCCGCGCGCGCTGCGTGTCCATCCGCGTTATTTCCTGCACGATGCTCGCAACAACCGACCCTGGGATGCTGCCACGATCGCTGACTTTGATATCCGTAAGCAGAAACGGCGATGTATATACCCATGTCTACACGCATAAGCACACGTATACACACTGCGAGCACTGAGTACAACGGGACAGGGCAAGCTTTGGATATGCAAACCGCCAAGCAACCGTCGTAACTGAAAATCCATGGCAGAGCTTTTGTTCGGTAATGAAGCTCGATCCCCGACATTCGTGGCTGGGATCGTCTTGTTCGCTCGGTGATTCCATGTTGGTTATCGATGACAGCGTGGGGACGGGGTACGTTGTACATGCTTGTTTTGTTTAGACGTGTGCCTTATTGGGATTACTCATGCGAGATTTCGTAGTTAGGTGGTTTGTATAATTCCTAGTGATTTAGAGTCACATTCTTGAGAACGCCGTGCTAGAGACGAGAACAATGTTATTCGGATAATACGTAGTGGAACCTGTTAAAAATGCAAGGATACAGTTCTGCGAAAGTCATTCTTGATTGTCGTCTTAGTTCCGCACGTACAATCCACCCTGTAAAAGTGCCTCACATGTTCCTTTCTATCCTACAATTACACTGGAAAACGATCAACATTTGGTAGAAAACCAACCAAAACTTACCAATCTCACCAATCAACAACGATAACCATGTCCGACTAGTCATGTCTGAATCTACTAGTCCCACAAGCCAAAACCGACTCTACCGTTCGAACATTCCCCTGCGCCTGAACCGCACCGACGTCGTCTATTCCTCCAGCGACGCGCATCCCCTAATCGAATTTATTAACAGAAGTTCCGTCGATATTACTCGAAACGTTCCCGATCGGCGGCCGTAAACTCGAGTCTTCCCCCTCTCCATCCTCCACTTCACGTGTAACTACTGTCATTAAAATTCGCCCGTGGCTCAGAGTTAGTTTCGCGCGAGTTCCCCCGCGCGACGGTGGAACAACAAACCCAGGCTACGGGACGTTTCGGGATCGCGAGATACCAAAGGGGTGAGATAAGATTCAAGGTGGTTGTTGTCGTGCAGAAGGGAGTACGACGAGAATGAGAAAAGAGGGTAACGATAGCGCGTGAAGGCGACGGGTGGCAAAGTGGTTAATATAATTCGCCGTAATTGCCGGAACCGTTACATCGGCCAGTGGTGTACGCCCCCAACCATCCCCCGACCCGGTAGAAAATCGTCGTTCGCAGTTCGTGCTTCTTCCATAGGAAAAGGGACGGGGGCAGCAGGCTTAATTCCGTGGTTCGGTTATAATTAACCGTTTTCGAGGCGCGTCGCCGCCGCCGCGAGGGCTCGTTATGGCGGCGCGCGGCGGTTGATAACAAGCGTCGAAACGAGCGAACGGTCGTTAGAAAAAGCCGGCCCCACCCGGTGCTCGTTGTTTCATTATCGTTATTGCCAAAATCCGGCCGCGGGGTAACGCGATATTTAACGGGGTTGAGTAATATCGCACGGGACGCGGCCCCGCAACCTTTTTGGCCCTGGTTACCCACCCACCTTCGCCCCGCGGATTTATCGCGGCCGCGCGCGAATGCCGCGGAGCGTAATTCGACGCGAGTGTAATTAACGCGACCGTGCAATTTATTCAGGCGATCGAACGATTTTCGAGGCGGACGCTGCTGTCGCTGGAAAAGTCCTGCGTCCGATTCCTCCGTGGGGGATTCGACGTGCTTTTGATCCTCGCTGACCAGACTTCTAGTTCGCAAAGAAATTCAGAATAGGCTTGGACCAATGGTGGAATTGGAATTGAGATTATTCTACGGTGACTCAGGCATTCGTTCGTATACTTTCGAAATTATAGTTAATTCTACAGAATTTTATGCAATTTCTATTTATGGATCCACATGATTTTTAGTTTTATTCGTGCTTTCCTGATCAATTTTTTGTAGTTTTGAAACGAGATTCGTAGTTTGGAAGGTAATTCAATTGAATAAATTGTGACAGCCATCCGTGAACTTTGTGTTTGACTGAATATGCAAAGGTAAGACACAATTGTAAAAAAAAATTTGTTTGTATGATGGTTTGTTTTCCAGGTAGTTAATTTTGAAGATTCATCTAGCACGTGTAATGACTATAAGTAGAAACGGAATGTGATGAACAGACGTGTTAGACGTAATAGATTTTCGAATTCAATTATCTCGGAAACGAAGCATCTTCCCAAACAATTTTATTCTACATTTTCGACTTATGTTTGCATATAGAATCACCTTCAATCCGTTGGACAATTCATCCTGACTCGTCCCGTATAACAAAGATTTCGTAGAAACGAATAGAGCTCTGGCAATATCTCTTGTATACACAACCAAAGGACTCCAGAGAAGATACTCCTCCTTGACGGTATCCTATCTATCTTCCAATACCTGCACAAATATATCCCCAAACATATCCGAGTCCGATGTCTGACTTCATTTCTTGCATCACTCTTATAGATACTTGAAAGTTTGTTCTGCACTGCTAATCTCAAAAATCTAGATGCGTGCCCTAATTTACAAAGCCCTCTGAAAATTTCATGCGCTTGTTTTCAGGGTGTTTTCTTCAAAGTTTCCACTCCTTATACTCATGTACTGTCTGGTCTGATTTCTGATTTCAGGCAGATAATACTATTAGTGTATCATAGTTGCTGGTAGATGCACCAAGCCGTATAGGTAGCCCACACTCGTTGCATTAAAGGGGTACAAAATCCTTAACACGTTCGCTGTCCATTGTCGAGAGTATGTCGATGGGTGATTTCATCGTGTCGATTCCCTCCGACATAAAGGGTCGGGCGACACCAGAGTTGAACATTAAATATAATTAAAATAATGGAAGTTCAGTAACTCAATTGAACAGGAAGCCGGCGTCTGTGTATGCATATATCATTAAGAATCCAATTAGTGGAACATGATGATGCAGCGAACGTGTTAAACATTTCCGTATCAAAAGCAGGGTTTGCTAAATATCCTTGCTGACGAGTCCTCTAGCAGGCCCAGGAAGAAATGCTCACATTTTTTATCTTCTTCCTCTCCGCAACATTTCCTCACATTTCGTTCCAGCCACCAAAGAACCAACGAAGACGATATACGAATAGGATAGTACACACTTGAAATGTTAGTGGTAATTAGTAAACAGTATCATACTTAACCATTTTTCAATATGTAAATATATTCATCAAGGAACTAACAAAAATTATGTGTAGAATAACACACTTCAGCTGTTCGTGTAGATCAGTAGTGTCTCTCTTGTACCAAACAGCGTCATACTTACACAACATTTCCTCGCATTCCGATTCACTCGGCAAACAGCTAACGAAAATAACGTAGAGAACAATACTGTACCAAACAGTATCATACCCTGGCTGAGCCCAAGTCTCCCCAAGGTAATACTGTAGAATTGTAGAACTCACCAAAGGATTTAGGAGAGAGTGAAAAATAATGAGAAAAAAATCCACGCGACAACTTTGCCCAACACTCCCCGTAAACCGTCGATACCCAGAGTCGCACTTGGAATCCATCGAGAAGCCAGTCACCGGTCGCGGGCGCGCGCTTCCGCCTTAACCCTGTCGATTAAGGTAAAGACGATAGAGAAATCCCTTTCTATATC